GAAAGAGAGTTGAAGTTTTAGACCACAAAATATTGTCTTTATAATCATGACCCAAATTTCAGGTATTGTTACAGGTGGGTTTTTGATGATTTTCAGCCTTTATTGTTAGTACATTAACCAATATCTGCGTGTAAAATACAAAAAAATACTCATCATGACGCCCCAACATCTAGGAACAAGGTGCATATTTTTTCAGATTTTTAGCTCTCTTCCTGTTGCCTCAGGACTTTTCTATGTCAGTAGTTTTCTTTACCGCCCGGTAAAGATTACATTTGGTGTAGTGCAAATAGATTCAAACCTCTTGTGTTCTTCCTTTTAGCTTCCTCTGTTTCCTTCCTTCCCCCCTTCTTTTTTATTTGTTTCTTAACTTGTAATGTTTCTATATGATGTATGCTGTTTTTGTGAACTGATCAATTGAGTATTAGTAAAAAATAAGTAAAGAAATATAAAAAATGATCTTTCTAAAAAAAACTGATCCATCTTGAATTGAGTGTTGTCCATCTGATCCTTGAGAATCTTAAGGATGTTGAATGAAGAAAAGTAAAAAAAATTAAATTGAAATGTAAAAAATAAAATAAAGTGAACTTGAACTGTTTGCGAGTAAAGCATGGGCACCAGGGCTGCTTCTCAGAGTAGAAGAGGCGTATAAAGGACAGGGGTTTGAGGTGTGATTTAATTTCCACAACGGATGAACCACTACAAGCGAACCACTCACACACGTAGAGTAGGGGTGTTTCTCAAGGCTCAAGGCTCCCCGCCTGTGAGTGGATGGGGTCAAGAAACCCCCAGGTTTTACAGTCCGTTCTCACCCCGATGGTGGTGAATTAGTAAGGATCCGTTAGGATTCCTTACACCTCACCCCCCATTGGGGTCCCCCCCAAACCACACATAAGGTTATAAGGTTTACTGCGCACATATGTACTGTAGACTCAATATCCCTACGTAGTGGTAGGATGGAATGTAAGATCCAGGGTTCTCAGCACAAATCTAATCACGTGCAGAAACACCAGCAATGCACCAAACGCCCTAAGAGATCCTTGGGGCACACACTCAGACCAATGGAATGATGATGCATAAGTATGCGCCGTGAATCTGTTTATAAATGTCTCTGGTCCACAATGGGGCAATGAGTATTCAAGCAAAGATGAAAGGACCATGGACAACACATGGCCAACCGATGAGTTCCACCGTAAGGGATTTATTTGGAAAAGGAAAGTAAACGTGTATGGTGAAATATTGAATGTAGATGAATAGTGGAGGAGAGGTGATGCTGTACAGTAGAGTACAATTAAGAATGAAAATGTTTGAAAGAAACCAAAGTGGGGAGGAGAAAGGAGAGAAAGTGAGTCTCTAGATATGGAATAAATCAATCAAATGGATTGTTCATCAATAGTTTGGAATTTTGATGTGATGTGATTTGTTCGTATTAACAGGGATTTGGAGAATCACTTCATAAATTCATTTCTGAAACCGCAGAAGTTAAAGTGGTATGTCAAGTATTGGCAATTGATTTAGAAAGTAAAGCAGATGAAAGAGCATGGCAAACAATTATTCCACATATCAATGCTAAAACAGTACTAAGTCATCTCCTTGAAGAAATCACAAGATATAGTTGTAAGATTGAGTAAGAAACATGAAGAAGACTGAGAAAGTTTTATTTTCTAATTTTGTTTGATACTTCTTCATAACAGCAGGTTTTGATCAATGGTCCAGGTGAAACACATCAAGAATTCATTGGAAATGTTTCTGCAATTCCTACATTTATAACCAAAATCTTTTTGCCCAAGATTGGAGAATGTTCTGTAATTGGACATGACACGAAAAGTTTCAAGGTTAGATTAAGTGATTAAGTGGTGTCTTGATGTCTAGTATCAAATCATCAAAGGTAAAAATGAATTTTGATCATAATTCAATCTCTGTTATACCAGATCATTGATTCTAACTCTGCCTTTGTTTATAATTAGGTCAAAGGATTCGAAGTAGGTTATTTGACTGGAAACTTACAAGTGTTAGATGGATCATCAATTCCAACTTTAGAAAAATCACCCAACGGATTAAATAATAGTACCCAATTAACCCAACATAATCAACGTACATCTAAACCAAAAGATACTAAGGATGAAGGATTTAATTTAGATGTAACACATCAATTGGATGCATTACCTATCACTTCTTCCACGATTTATATTGGAGAAATTAAATTGATTGTATCAAAATCTTTTATAAATTCCATTCGAATCCAAGCCGAATTTACAGGAGGAGTATTAATCTGTGGACCAATGTCTCAAACCAAACCTAACAATCTATACAATCCAATCAAAAAGGAGGTACCAAATTTGAATATGAAACTTTAGAACAAGATGGAATGGAAGAAGAAAGTAAAGAATCAATGAATCTGAAAGTTTTGGTCAAGAAAACTCCAAGGGTGACTTAAGTATTGAAGATCCTATTGGATTTTTTTGTTATATATCAGCGATTTGATTTATAGTTTGCATTCTAGTATGTCAAGTGATAGGAAACCAAAGAAGAAGGATGGCAAGAATCTAATATGACAATCAATGATCATGAAATTAGATTATTTTTTGAGCGTTTTGTCTCAATTTTTCAGATTTGCTTTTAGAACTTTGATCAAAATTAATTCTTGATTGGTTGGTTAATCAATGTGTTTTGAATTTTTTAAATCAGTTTTGGTTAAGAATTTGAAATATATGTGTACATAAAATAAAACAAAATAAAACATTGAATTTTGTATCTTGGATCAAAAATATTCAACCAAAATTTAAAAATGTATCTTGATAAAGACGTTTGATTACAAGAATCTCTTCTTGAAGCAAGTCAATAAATACTCGGGACTGGCTAAAACTTTTGCAATGCCTAACCTACTGGAAGAAGAAGAAGATTTTATAAATCTACTCTGATACTCTTGGCTAATTTGTATAGATGTGCTGAATCTGGGGAATTTTTCTGATGGTTGTTGGGATGGTAGTGTACAGTGTCTGTCCCTATTACCAAAGTAAACCATTGCAACTGGTCCATCACAAGCAGAAAGATCGACCTTGAAACCCAAGTCAGTAAATGAAACATCTCCATTGGTGACATCAAAACAATCAGATTTATGTGCCAACTTTCCGTTTTTGAATATTAGAATTGATGAGAAAAATGTGGTTTCAGAGATGTCACCGTCAACATGGGGAATATTAGAAAACTTCTCAAAAGTAAAGGTTAAGTTGCCTGCAATGCCTTCATCATTTTCAGAAACTGTGAATTTGAGTTGACTGAAGGAAGGTAATTTGAACTTTCTCGTCTGTTCTTGAGATTTCTTTGAGAAAAATCTTGAAATTGATTCATACTGCTTCAAATAAAAGGCCTAAAGCTTAGCTCTGAAGGGTAACCTGGCTTCCTATTAATTTTGGATATGTGACACATCCACTAAAGGGGGACTGAAATGGCCCAAGCAATAAGTTATTGCAAAATCAACCAATTTTTTAGCCTGGGTGATAAATATCCAAATGTGAAAGTAATCAAATTGGTAATCAGTAATCAGATCAAATCATGAAGACAGGAGAGATAGAAAATGAGACAGAGAGACAGTGGTTTTTAACTTTTGGATCCAAGATTTTATGTTTGGCATCTACAGTCAAATGCCATTGTTCCTCCTCATTGGTTGGGTTGTCAACAAGGGACAGAGATACATTGACCACCTTGCCAATGCCACTGATGGTTGCTCTACCAGCAAGCTCTTTGGCGTCCGGTACAGTGCTGCAGATCTCACTTTGAGTGAGAGCGCTGTGTTTGATGAACACTTTGCGGGACACTGGATTCTGACCAAAAGTTCCAGACAAATACACAGTGTGATTGCAATGTAGGAAGTTGGTATCCAATGTAAGAGATAGGGATTTCAGGGGGACACTGTGTGGCTCTCCTTTGTCATCTTTCAGGACCAGCCTTGTTGGTGTCATGTGATGTGCAAGCGCTTCTTCCCCTGGCTGCACTCGCACCGGCTAACAATATGCAAAACAAGGAAAGAAAGGTCAGCAAAGGGATCTAATTTGTGAGTGGCAAAGACATAATCGGGTCAATGTTTATATTGATTGGACATAATCTTACATTGCCTGTGGTGCGTACAGTTGTGCCTGAGACTGCAGTGTAAGATATAGGGATTGGCATAGCTGGCTTGGCTCAACGCAACAAGATATGACTGGAGAAGATGGTTCCACTTGTGCTGACTGTGAGAATAATGCCTGCTCTTTATAAGAGTCGGCGTTGACGCCGTCAACAACCAAAGCAATCATATAACCGCTTGGCCCAAAGGTCCTGGTTAATTGAGCTTAGG